CAGACAGCTGCAGTTAAAAATCTCCACTGTAATCAGCTTAAAGGACTCTGTGGATATGATTCAAGTTAGGGCTGACACTCAAGTCAAATGCTGTGGGTGACCTCATTTCATTTCTCATTCCAGTTAGTTGCTTGAGCATTGTCCTTACTGTCACTTACATCCATATATGTGCCTTGTAAAAAGCTTGCAGAGCTTTTGGGATGGTCTGGGTGAGAGTTTAGAGCTCTACTTGACTTGCAGCTAGGAACTTCCTTGCTGTTTATTCATAATGAAGAAAAGGTGCATGACTTTTCACATTTTCTGTGTAAGTCAACATGTGAAAGAAAGATAAATTTTTATATGTTTGAATATTATGAATGGGTGCATCTTAGGTTCCATATTACTTGTAGTTTTAAGGAGGAGAATTTGCTGAAGCACTAGCTTTTAGGGAAGGGATGGGTTAAAACTGTTATGATAGAATAATGTGTCCATTTGAGTGAAGCTGCTTTAATAATTACCAGCGGTTTTGTGTTTTACAGGATTCTTCAACAGCACAAAGACCTCAGAAAACTTTACAGTAACTGTTCATCCAAAGGAAATAAGGACTTTCTTTGTATACTTTCAGAGTCAATAAAGTTTGGGAATGTATTTCAGGAATGAATATGAATATGTAGCTTCCGATTTTTATTTCAAGATATGAGTGATGATCTTGAAAAACATTCTACTGTTAATGAAAGAAAAAATAATTTTTGAATAAATTCTAAATTTAATTAAACTTTTGGTCTGAGTTGTGGGTATTTTTGTTGGTTAATTATTTACAACCCTTTTTTTTTTTCTGAAACTTTTTCAATGCAAAAATGACCTTGGTGTTGCATAGTGAGCGTGTTGGACATTTTTGTGCTTGCTGTGGATGGTTTTAAAGTGATTGATTCTATAATGGTTCACTGTGGAGCACTAACAAAGTCGTATTAGTCCTACGGTTTTGAATTGCTTTTCTGATTAGTGATGACATCAAGAGTCTTCTCTTAAGATTTTAGTTGTTAGAGGAGATGACTTCCAAATCACAGAAGAGTGATTTGCCAAATGGTGTTCTGTTCCTACATGGAAGGAAATGCCTGTTGTGTTTCAGCTCCTTTGTCTTTCAGGCATCAACTGCAAAGTTTCTGCTTTGCTGTGAACTGAAATGGAATGTACTGTTTGTATTCCTTTGCTCTAAGTTCATTTAAATTGTGTCTCTTAAGGGTCAGAATTGATGGACTTTGCCTGACAGAATCCTGGTCCTGGATGTTCACTCTTGTGTTCTGGGTAAACTGAAGCTGGTTTGTCAACAGGTCTCTTGCCCTATGGCCAGTAACTTACTCATCATGTAACCTGAAGAAGGAACATTATTCTTAGGATACTGTGAACTTTCTTCCTTCTCAGCTCAGAGAATGTGCACGGTGGTAGCAGGAAATGTTTCATTAACAACAAATGGAGGGTAATTATAGAGTGCTGTGTGGAGAGGTTAAACTGACAGTAAGTGCAAATTCTAAGCAGATCTGAGCAGCAGCAAAAGGAAACTTGGACAGCAACTAGATTTCCTAATAGCTGGTATGCATTTATGTCCAAAATAAAAACTCTGTTTCTCTGTTTTTCTTCTTAGCTCTAAACAATGTGGAGCTGTAGAATCTTATGCTTTTCACATGCTGTTGGGCATCTCTACTTATTTTCCTTATTCACCATGAAAATGCCCATAGCTGAGATGAGAATCAAGTCAGTCATTTCACTAAAGTGATAGTGATGAATTATGCTTGGTGCAACACTGTACAAAACTGTGTTTCTGATGAGTGAAACATAAAACTGAAAGAGGAAATAGAGAGAAAAATAGGTGCCTTTTCAGCCAGTTAATAATCCCAGATCTAGAATCACATTAAAATGACATTTTGCTGTGGCAATTGTTCTAATTTACTTCAGCTGTTCAGCAATAATTTCCTTCACATGGAGAGACTGTTCAAGAACAAAGAAAAAGAGTGAAAAGGGCTCTTCCAGAATAGCTATTGGGAAACAGTTATGCTGAAGAACTGTGCTGGTGGTCAGTTTTTCATGAAGACAACCTGTGTATACTCACTGGTTGCATCTCATTAAAATCACTGCAGAAACTGTCACTGATCCAGTTACTGGTTGAAGAAAAGTTGTTTTGTATTTCTATTGGTTGTTTTTCATACTTGGCTATAAATACTTGGTGATGTGCCAATCTAACCTGCTCTGCTGCAGTGAAAGCCATTTTCCTGCAACTTTAAGCCCAAAGGGGAAGCACATAGCCCTGTAAGTAGGATGCAGTAAAGCATGATGGCAGATATTTTTCATTTTGTGTATGTGTTTGGGAAATGAAATGTCTTCAACTGAGTCTTTTTCTTTGCTTGTACATCTTCTGTCATTCCCTGCTTGTTTCTGTCATGTTACAATTCATGCTTTTGTGACTGAATCACTAATACCCGTGATGGTAACAGCAGGTCATGTCGGTAAATTATAAAAATTGAATTGTATCTTCAGTGACCAATTGCATGGTCAGTCCTGGCCAAGCAGCAAAGGATTCCACAGCTGCTAACTCTGGGTGCTGCTTTGCCAGATGGCAAAGTTTCTAGTAGGATGTGTTAGAACAAATCCTACAAAAACCTTCTTATATGGGATAATATAAACAGGTATACCTCATTACTGCCTGATTTATCTGTTTGGAGGGATTCTACTTTGATTTGTGGAGACTTTCTGGTTTAAAAGAAAAAAATAAAAAAGAATATTTTATCTGGAGTTGCAATTGGTCATCAGGGGATAATTTGCCAGAATCAAATCTTACATTGCACCGGAGACATCCAAGACTCCGGTCTGTAAAAAGCATGGCATTCCTGCTAGAAGATGTTGTTGCATATTTTGTATGTTATTTTTCCTGAGAAATCTCAGCCCAAGCAAAAGGAAGCCTGCAGGCACTCAAATTTCTGTAGAGGGATCAATTGGCTAATCATCCTTTTTCTTCCCTCATATATGGAAAGATAGTGAGGAGAAATATTGTGGTGTTACATGAAGACTCAATAGAAATCAAGCCACTCTACTTAAATACTACTTCACACCTTACATCACACAGGATATACAAGAGAAAAGAGTGTTGACGTAATGTTATAACCAGAGGACAAAGTCATGCATGCATGCAGCATATTTGTCCTGTGGTACATAAACCTTGGTGCTAATTTCGATTTCATACATACTCTTCTCAGTGCTGTCACTAACACCTCAAAAATGCTGTGTTGCAAGCTCTCAAGCAAGTCTGACATAAGGGTAAGGAGAAGGAAGAGGATTTAGATCCTCTTTGTTTTTTCAAATGTATTTTTCAGTAGGCCTCAACTGATACTCTTTGAATGTGACAGAGAAAAGTTTTGGGAAGATGGATTTGTGGAAGGCATCTAGAAGAGACTAGCTATAACTGCACTGAGCAGCTGCTCTGCAATCATCTCTAGCACACAGGTGAATAAATATACACATTTACAGAATCCAAATTCATCAATGCACTTTCCAAGGTTAACTATGATTAAGTTGCAGAAAGAAAAGAAAAACTAATAGCATCTTTCTGTTATTGGTGCTTCCCTGACCCACGTGCTCATTTTGTGTGCTACACTTACTCTGGCAGCAAAGGTCACTTAAATTCTGTCACCACATTTTTCCACCCACTCAGTAGTGCTGTGATGAGGGTTTGTGAGGCTGTGTTGTAAAGCAGTACAATGAAGTAACTAGGGCTAAAAATAAAGCCCTTAGCCAACCCCTTTTGCTCTGTGCCAGTTCATTTCATCTCTGACAGTAGATGCTTTGGATTAGAACTGAAGCATCACTCAGAGTAAATATAAGCTGCTATCAGCACTATGGGAAAAGCTTCAGCCAGTTTCTAGATGAATTTTTATTATTTTTTTAAGTTCCGTCATTGCAATTTTGATGTTACCCAACTGAACGTGTTTGTGGGACAATTTTGTCTAGCCTGGTAACTTTGCATTTGAAACATCTATCCAGGGAATAAATAAGATGAGAAAATGGAAGCAATGTTTTGTCTTCTGGGCAATGTCTCTGGCCAGGGAATCTAAGTGATTCTGAATTGCAGCCAAAACTCAGTGCTGGAGAATATTAAGCAGCATAGAGTTATCTACATTTGTAGAAAATTTTTTAATAATTTAGGGCAAATAAATTTCAACATGACCCTCAACTTGACAATGTAACTGTAGATCATTTTATTTTAACTCATGCTTAAAATCCTTCTGAAATAAGCCTTAGTTAATGTACATGGCACTGGTATTACATTAATGCAGCTGCAGCTGTAGAGGTAATTATGAGATCATTTGCATACACAGTGTAGGGTCCTGGATTGTTTCCCACTGATGTCACGGGATGTTGGGGCCGCTGCGAGTGATGATTTTGGAACTCAGCCTTCCTCAATTGCTCCTGCCAGTGGAGCTGTGCTGCTGTTAAGGCAAAAGTACTAAAGTACTTTTCACAGTGGGGAAGAATTTAGGCAAGATCTCAGCAAGATGACAATGAAATGTATGATAAGGAAAGATAGGAGCCATACTTGGCTTCAACATAACCCATGTACAGTCATTGTCTCTGGCTTTGGATAAGATTCATTGGGTTGGCTGGAAGAGACTGTGTGGTAGCTAAAGAAATTTCATCTTCATAAAGTGCATTTAAATGAAGGGTTTCAGAAGGACAATGGCAAATGCTCCCATGAAACCACTCTGAGTATGGAAAAGCAGTTCTTTATGTCATACTAGAAGAAAGGCTAATCTAGTGTTGAAAGGCAATCCGTTAGGACACAGCTTAAAATTTAAAGAAGAAATGTCTTGATTTCACACAGGATGGCTGAGCTGTAAAACTGACATAGCTGTGACAACAGTTCCACAGAGTGTAGGGAAAATTTGAGTTGCGTTTAGGTTGTACCATCCTCACCACAAGGGAAGAGGAAGTTAAGCTACGATTCTGACGATTTCATTTGATGTTTTGCTGATCTTTAAACAAGACACCCTGATGCAAGCACTAATAATCCTGCGTGATGATCATAATTTCACTGAAACTTCTTTTAACAATGTGTTTTGGCTGCTTAGGTAAGCACTGCTTATTTTCTTTGTTTTGTTTATAGTTAGTCACCAGTAATTCTTGAGCTGGATTTAAAAATCTTATGGTCTATTCACATCAAATACACTTGTGTGTGAGACAAGGAGAATGTTAACTATATTTTCATAATGCTGAAAGCACGATTAAAATGCATGGGGAGTCAAAAAGCATTTTCACAAAGATATTGTTATAAAAAAAGTGCAGAGGAACACATTGATGACTTCAACACCCAGAATTATGTTAATTTAATGCAAGCACCATATTTCTTAGGCCTTCTGACTTGAATATTTTTTATGACAAACACTGAATGTAGAATTCTAAGATGTTAATGATGTTTTGTTTTAGATAGATACTGAAATGCAAAGCAGGTAAGGTTTCATGATTCTTATTCAATACAAATTGCACTGTATAACACTGAAGGTGTTCAGTATAAATTAAAAAACGTAATGGAAGAAAGGGAGAGATTAAAAGATTAAGCAAGGGCAGAAGGATTTTTTCAGTGAGATTTTTCAGAAAAGCAGTTAAGTCACGATATGGAAATGTGGATAGCACAACTGTATTTTAAATGACAATCCAAATGAACAGGAAAACTGAAATTACTGATCATTTCTTTAACACTTGAACAGCTTCCAAGTTGTCATTTGCGCTTAATCAATTCTTTCCCTTATTTTTTCTGCTGTTTATATTACTCCTACACTGTCTATATTGTTCTCTGCAAGTAGTCGAGCATTGTGTTGTGAAGAAGATAGAGATGCCTAACTACTTTAAATATGATGAATGTGTGGCTTTTTCTATGGACAAAGGAGAAAAGTTTCTCTGTATATTTCTGATAAAACTTATCAAATGCCATTTTAGGATGAGATATGGGAAGAAAATCATGCTGTTTACTCTCATTATGAGTAATTTTTCACTTTAATAGTATAAATGTTAGAAAAAAGGAAATTATAATTCTTCATGCAGCATATGAAACTAATGATCTCAGCAGTCATGGGGATAGATTTGATAGGATTAGCACTTTCGTGATGAGCATCAATGCCATTAGAATGTAAATAAAGTTATCTGATATCCCTACAGTGGTTTCACTGGAAGAAAATGTTTTACACAGTATTACAGAGTATCTCATGTGTCACTCACTTCACATGTGGACAGTGAGTGAGAGATTCAAAGCAGTAAAGAGTAAAAAGTTTGATTTCTTGTGATACTGTCCGAGTCAGCCTTAGCTAAAAGCTAGACAACACAGCTGATGAGAACAACTGGGGTCTGCATAGCATATTGTATACTTGATAAATGAAGGAGGTGAATCTGATACTATGAACTACTTTTCAGCAAAAACTTAGTGGAAGAAGTTAAAACTAAATAAAAGAACCCACCTGTAAAATGCTGTACACTTGTCACTAATTAGAAGCAGTGCAGGATAGGAACTCCTACATGGTGACAAAAATTGTAGTGGATTTTTCTTTAATCTCGATGAGTTTTTTGCTATTAACTAATGAATCATTTTGAGTGACTCCTTTTGGTCATTCTTTATCTGGCAGATAGGATTTAATATCCTTCAGACTCAATCTCTTTTTATAAAGCTTTTTGCTGAAAGTAAAAAATATGTTTACTATCAAGTACACATAAAATCTTCATTTATTGCACACAAACAATGATGGAGAACTTTAACACACTAGATTAAAAGTTTACTTCAGCCATAAAGTAAGTGCCATCATTGAAGGGAGAAATGGATAGTAACTAATCTTAAAAACTAATGTCATATTGATTTTACAGCATTAAAATTATTTTAAATACAGTTGTAATGACAACTGTTTGTTGCTTTACCCTTTAAATCTATATGTATTTCTCCACTAGCTACAGGTCCCAGTGATTTAACAGTCATCCAAACACCAACAAAAATAAATATATCAACTGGAGACTACACTGAAATCACCTGTTTTTGGGAAAAAGATATTATTATGAGGTATAGAGTAAGTTGGTATCTTGTTAGTAAAGCAAACATCACTGAAAGTGTATCATCAAAAGTTGTCTATGTGTCCAACATCACCCGTGAAAACAAGGATGTGCTGTTCATAAAATCTGCCAAAGTAAATGACACTGGATTTTACTACTGTGAGGTGATTATTGAAATACCCTTCTATAAGAAACTATGTGGAAATGGGACAACAGTGATTGTTGAAGAGAAAGGTAAGCTAGCACGAAGATATGTGTGCCATTTTACTTACCATAAAGATTCTTTAGTTTGAACTGTGTTATGCATTTCCTGCTTCTCCCACATCCGTCCCTGAACACTGTGGATCTCAGGATGAATGAGACAAACACAAAGAGGGCCTGAACAACTCTTAATGGCAATTGACTTAAACTCTCTGCCTTAATATCCCCTGTGTAGTATTCGTTTTCTTCTCTAAGGGTTTGGTAATAGGAATTATTACTTAAGGTTTACAAAAAAGCTTTGCAGCACCTGTATGTTTCATACAAGACCCAAACACCATTCCTCCTCAGAAAGTTTTTTTAGGGTAGATGTGAGACACTGACTGAATCTCCCATGTAGTAACGAGGGGCTGAAACAATCACGTGGTTACTCTGTTCAGTTACCTGTACCCTTTACTAACTTTTTTATTTTTTTATTATTTTAATATTCTTAATAAAAAGTGATAAATATATCAATATGGAACATAGAGCAGTATGGGCTCTATAAGGATTTGTGTCCATAAAGTTGTTGTCACAAACTTGTTTCTATAGGCTGCGTGTTTTACAGCAGTCATATGCTAACATTTACAGGGGAGCAATGTGAGGTCTGAATTCCGAATTAAGCTTGTAAAGCATTGATACAATTAGTATTCACCCACAATTAAAATCTTCAGCAATAGGACTGAGATCTGTTTCACCTTAAATTATTAAAAGAGTGTGACATACCCAGAAAACAATTTATCTCGCTTCTGTTGCACAACTGTCTCAAGACACCGTGCATTACTTTTGGAAGATGCTGATCTCTACCTCTCTTTATATCTCTCAACAGTAAAGATTAGGGGACTAGGTATGACTAGGCCCTTAACATTGTCAAACATCACTTGTATGGTCAAGTCACAGGAAGTAGCCTTTCCAATCATCCAACACAGTTCAGTTTTGGACAGTATTTTATACTGTGAGTAACTGGTAGTCCAAAGGGAGGCACAAAAATTATCAAAGATTTAGAAAACATCAGTGATAGAGAATCAATGAAGTAGTGTTCAAAATGGTGGGAAATTAATATAAAAGGCTGTTATAGAGCTAAAAATAATCTAATCTCTTAAAATGAGGTAAGAGATCTTATCTCCTACTTAGTCAAGTACAAGCAGAAAAGACTCACGTTAAACACTTGGGAGGGAAAACTGTCAATCTGCAGGAGCTATAGGAGGGACTGATGTTACTGTTCATTAGGCATGCATCCCTCAGGAATGATGAACTGACCTTGCATTTGAGGGGGGGGGGGGGGCATAAGATTGACTCCTGAAGTAATTTTTAATTTTAATTGTTTTGTGTGTTTTTTGCTATGATGATGTTCTTTTATTTTACCTTTGAACAGTACATAACTTTAGTTAAAAAATATACTTGCAGAAGCTGACTCACCGAAAAAAACAGATTTGGTAATATGGACCATCATTCCTTTCTTAGTGGCAGTGGGAGGTTTGTATCTTTGCTACAAAAAGAAACAGTTCTCCACACTCTCTGGTGAGTGATAATATTTCCATTTACACATATTCTCTAAGTTAGATGTTTGTTTTGAGATGGCTGGAGAGGTGCACTCAAAAGGTATTTCTAAGAGGAATTTCAGTGTATAACTTTTGCTCACCTGGTCCTGGTCTGCTGGGGTGCCTTGAGCTGAGGGGAGGGATCAGAGGCACAGCTTGTAGTTCAAGTGAGCGTTCTTACAACCACTTGCCTTCCTTATTTATCTTTCTAAGGAGAGAGTGATCACTTAGACTGAAGATCTTGACCTGGCCAGGGTATTGGAGGATATCAATTCTAGAAATTTCTTACTGATTTCTGACTGAAAAAGTGAGAAACCAGAACTTAGCTCTGCATCCTAGTCTTCCCTCTTGGTGGTGACAACTGGAAGTGACATCTGAAAGACTCAGCCTTGGAGACTTTGTTCTAAGTTATGTTTTTTTAAGCTGTGATTTATTTTTTTTAATTATTAATTGGAGGAAAGTGGGGGGGTTGCAAAATCCTGACATTAAGAGTGGAAGAAGTCACAAGAAAATATAGTGAATGTCAAGGGTACAGGACAAGTATAAATGTAGGACGTCTGCAGACAGAGGGCACAGATCAGTGACATAACTTAAGGCAGCCTTAAGTAAGTAAGCTTACCTGAGTAAGTAACTGTAGTGTGAATATTATGGTTGCAGTGTGAGGTTTACTCAGCGTGTGAGAGGTCGGGGATACAGGTGGAATATCTATGACTTGAGATGCAATTCAACCTGCAGATTAAAAAAGCAGGGGGAGGGGATTTAAACAAGTGAAATCCCTGAACTCCTATTACAGTCACTGCAGTTGACACAGGCAGCTGTGTAAATTGACCCCGTGTAGGTGTCTGCTTAAGGGTGAGCTGATCAGCCCTCTTCTTTCGTGGCACAAACTCTGCTGAGCAGCTCTCCATCACGTAAGGGGTGTTCAGGAGGGAGGGAGGGAGGGAAGGAAGGAAAGAAAGAATTTAGGTTTCTCATTGTCATTGCTGTAAAGGATATAGGATAAAGTAATCAAGTGAAATCCATTGTCTGCTATGTATTGTTTTAGGCAGTAAAGGCTTTGCAAGTTGCATTAACTTGGTGATCAGCTAGACAGACCTGTGTCCTCCTGCTATTTTCAAATTACATTTTAAAAGATCCTTGCCTATTTTAAAGGGGTATACTGAGGTCATTTTTACATGGCTTCATATTCTGAGAGAATTTTTTTCTGAACTTTAATTTGACCCTTCTAATACATTGGAGGGGAGGGAAAATAGTAAATAACAGAATCAAATATATAAAGGAAGTAGAAGGGATCTTGGGAGGTCGTCTAGTACAATACCTTGATTAAAGCAGGACTACAACAGTAAATCAGACCGGCTGAGGCCAAGTTTAGCTGAATCTTGAAACCCTTCAAGGACAGGCCTTCCACCTGGGTGCACGTTCCAATGTTGCACTACTCTCCTATTGAAGAGAGTAGTAAGCTACCCACATGTAACTTATTTAATTTGCAACCTGAATACCACTTCAGCGCCTGTCATCAAGACTGGCTATGCAAGATCTCTGCACTCTTCATTTCAGTGCTTTGTAGAGCTCTGGTAGAGTCTGGTGTCACTCTGGAAAGGGACAGTAAGCAAGCACTGACTATAACTTGGTTTGCTAAGGTGCTGCACAACCTCTTGTGCTGACAGAAAGGCATGAGGAGGAACAGATGCTTGAGGTTGCAGAGCTTCATGGGAGAAATGAATCTACCAGAGAAGCAGCTGAGGAAAACTCATCATGTAATTCTGCTGAATGGGTAAGTGGTTTATAAAAAGACTCTCGCTATGAGAGGGCTTTCAAGGTGAGGCACTGAACAGAAAGCACACGACAACCTGCTGTTCCTAGAACAGCATCTTCCTACACACTGAAAAGGTTTAAAGAAAAAAAAAAGGTTTTCTTGCAAGAGACAACACTCAGAAATAAGAAAAGAGAAATTCATGTAGTTAGCAAAGTATTGACTTCTGTCGTTATATTTAATGACACCCTAAAATTTCCTGGAGAAGAGAGCACCAAAAAGCAGAGAATATCAATATAGAGACTGAGTGAAAGAAAGAAGTGTAGAAGTAGAAGATGGCAATAAAGTCCCTTTCTGTATAACTGTATATGAAGCTCAAGGGGCCTTGGACCAGCTTCAGCTCGTAGGGCCATTAGAGCAGGGAGCGCTTGCTGAGAGCAGGTAGCAGATTTCTGCCAAGCTCCATTTTCCAGTCAATTATTCATGTTTCAATTACATTAAAACATGAAGTAAGCAAGGGAAAGAAGCCCTAATTTAACCCTTGCATAGGCAAATACAACTTCCATTGCAGTCAGCTGGACAGGCTTGGGCAAGCCACACAGAAGTGATGTAAAAGGCTCAAGCCTGTGGTCACAACTGCAGTTACTGAGCTTACAGATTCCTGAATTCTCCTGTTAGAAAACCTGTCTGCAGCCTTGATTTGGTCACATTGGGACTGAAGTCATGGTGAGAGAGACTATCAGGACACAGGTAGTGAAATAGTAATATCTGTCTTTTATTGAGCAATAGTAATCATTCTAAAAAAAGAAAATGTATACATGGGAAAATTCATGCTCTATAATAACTAGATTCCCACTGAAGGCAAGAGACTTGCTTTTACTGGAAATATCATAGTGGAAAATTTTAGGAATATGAGGCATGAGATGGTCTGGACATAGTAATAAAATATTTTAATTACTAGCTATAAAGGGATAACTCTTCTACTTGTTAATATTTAATGAAAATATAAGAAAATAAGATTGAGAATAAGAAAGCAAGCATCCTAGGGGGTGCAGAGTGAAAAGTTCATTAGTAACCATTAATTGCTCAGGGTTTGTATGGGCAAGATTCTTCCAGAGGCTGTGTGAAGGCAATTATAAACTATCTTTTGTAGTTGCTTTACAGTTTAGCAGCTACCAGCCACAGCAATATGTCATGATATGGATTCAGTGTCTTCTTTCATGTAACAGACCGTTTTGCTATTTTAGTGAAAGCAGAAAGAGTGGTTTCATAGTGGTATAATTTTAAATGTTAAGGCACAATTGGATCTTATAAATCGTTCAGGAGATCCAGTACGTTAGTAAAGCCAGTGCATAAAAAGTGTATGGACACTGTATTTCAAATAAATTAAGCCAGTAGTGGTTAGCAAATATTATGGTGTCTCTGGAACTGCACTCATTGCCTTTCAATTGTTTGCAGAATATGGTCAGCTTAATTTAAACTTTCTTTCTGACTGTGACAAAGAAAGTCTTTAAAAAGTTTGCACTAATTTTTACATTGCTTACCCTTTGTTTCCTTTTTAAGTTTGGAAATTTGCTGAACATTCTGGGTAGGTTTGGGCATCATTTCTAGAACAGCGAACATGAGGGTTCTGTCCGCCCCTGCAAGGCTATTTACAGTCTCATGCTTTTTTTCCAATTCCTGGGGTTGTGAAGGCAATCTTGTATCACAGCAATTGAACCAAGGCATGGATTTTATTCTCGCCTGTATCGTGTGTCACAACAACACTGAACAATTAGGTCAGGTGACAGTACATAGTTCTAAGTGCCTAACTTAAACTGAGAGGGAACATCTTCATGGCAAAGCTGGCTCCTGTAGCTGTGCTTTCCCTATACAGCATTTTTCTCTGCCTCTCGAGAATCATCCCATATTTCCTCAGCTGAGATGTTTAGGGAGTGTTTCCCAGACAGTTCTGCCAGCTGCAGGGGAATTTGGCCCTTGAGGGAATTCCTGCAGCAGTTGATGACTTTTTCATCAAGTTCTGCAAGTTCCAGCCCAAATCTAAGCACTGTTGTAGCATTAATGCAAACTTCCAGCTCATGGAAGCACATATAAAGCTCATTGTTGAGAGTGGCTCTGGTTGTGCAAAATGCATAGAATCATAGTCCAGATTAGCTGGCTGTCCCTACCATGCCTCCTGTTTGGCATTCAGCTAGCAGGTACCTCTCTGTGCTGAACATGGTTCATCAAAACATGTGAAGAGAAGCTACTCCTTCATGACTCCCACCTTTTTATTGGTTTATGCCATGTCAGCTTGAGAATTTGATTTCCTATGTCTGTGAGCGCAGATCTTTGTGCACATTTCAGGCAGATCTTTAGTTCTCAGGTTTTGCTGAAGGGCTTACTTACAAGTGTTTAGGAAATGAAAACAGGGTGATATCTGCACAGTCCAGAATAGCATCTGAATACCCCAGCAGTGTGCTAGTTTAGTGCCTGAAGAGAGCATCCATCCAGAGGGAAGAGTAGGATAAAGCTTTTGGGAAATAGCAGAGTTAAAAGATTAAGGGGATAAAAAAGCTTTCCATTTCAGATTTCTTAGAATCTTGTCTACACTGGAACTCGACATCTTTGGTATTCTAAATAAGTATTTTGTGTCCATTACCTAATTAACTAAGAGAGTCGAATCCAAACATATAGGAAGGCTTTGCCTTTCAATGTTAGTACTGAGACACTCTTTCCATCTGAAATTATAGCTCCATGGCCTGTGTTTCTTTCTGTTCCCTGCTGTATCTTGGATAAAAGTTCATTTTACATGTACTTTATGGGTAAAAGTTTTGACTGGAGTTTTCTGTGCTTTTTAAGGCTGTGTCTACGCTTTATGAATCACTTGAATTTTTTTGCAATGAATCAGGAGGAGAAGATGACAAATCCACTGTGACTATTGTATCCAATGCAGCATGTGAGCAAATCCCACAAACTAGGGCAGCTGAAAACTCTAGAGTGAGACAAGGATCTGCCATCTACTTTGACATTCAGAACTAAATCATAAACAAAATATGGCTAAATAACTATGAAACTGAAAAATATGATAATTTGCTGCTGCAAGATGGATTATATGAGTTTCCTGTCAGAAGCTTGTCAGTGGGACAATATAGAAGAAAAAAGGTTGTTTCCAAGCAGTTTTTGAATGTTTTGTCACGAACAAAACATTCTAAAGGAGTCTGTGAATTTGGAGGGTATGTCATTTAGAAGACTGTCTTCAACTCTTCCTCTGGTGTCCAGAAATAATGACATGTGCATTACCATACTTTGAAAAATCTTCTGGACTGAACAACATTCTCCAACAAAAGCATTTCTTCAGGAAGCCCATGTATGAGCAGCAGAAGGTAGAGAAAAAATATATATGATGGTAATCATTTGACCAAACAGACACTGCTACACATAGGATAGAGTCTGGTCTCTGAAACTGTCATCACTACTGACCACATCCCAGCCAGAGTGGTATGCCAGGAGGGATTATATTCCCATGGAAAGAGACTGTTAGTGTTAATTCATTCACACACTTGGAAAAGTCTTCCAGAGAAAGAAGTCTCCTATGCACAATGAAATACTAGGTTTAAATGAAGCTATATATGTATTATTATTATGTATAATTATTGTCTAACTGATGGAGGAGGGCTGCTTGAAGGAGATGGGGGTGTTAACACTTGTTCCACTTTTGCCAGCTCTAAAACTTTTTTAAAAACTCACGGGAGAAAAATCGAAGTTGAAAAAGTTAAGGAGACCTGCAAGCCAGGTCTGAACAGAGGTGAAGAGTATTGACAGCAAATCTAATGGCAGTTGTCTTAAGGGCTGCTGAATACCAAGAGTGGACATCTGAAATGTGAATTTGTTTATGTACCAGGGTTATGTCATCTTCTGTTAATGTTTTCTCAGAACTTAGCTGGAGGTTAGAGTATCTTACCAGCAGTTCAGGAAGAAACGACTTCACTGCTTAAGAGATTTTTACAGTTTATACCTGTAGTAGTTTAAGTAGTTTATACCTTTGCAGTAGACAGAAACTAGCTTTCCCATAACCCTTAAAAAACAGTTTGTGTAGTCTCAATGTGGGGCTGACTTGCTACTAAATATTTGGCAACAAAATCTTTGTGGCCATACAGCATAGCTCATGGTCTGGCTCTGCCTATGCCGGAGTGACTGCAGTTCACAAAGCTACCTCTCAAATTACTGTAGCTTGGCTGTGGCTCACTCCGTGGTGTGGATCCTCTTTCCTGGCTTGTTCTGTAATCTGCCCTGAATCCCCTTCTGCAGTAAATATCCTACTGTCATAACTAGACTGTAATCACTGCACTGTGAATATATCTGAGAGAAACTGTTTGCTACAGTACATCTCATGGTATTTATGTATAAATTGAATAAAGCAAGAGGTTATTCTTTTCTTTCTTTTGAAGTTCAGTTACTTTAAAATCTTGCTGGTTTCTGTCCTGAAACTTATTATTACAGATGAAACACCATCATGTACCATATTCCTTTGAGGCTCAAAAACGGGACTCTGGATTTCCACAAACCTTGTAACTTTGTCCCCTACACAGGGAAAGTCATAATCAGTAAAAGGATGATGACCTTCAGCCCAGCTCTCTGTTCAAAGAAGCTCTCAGATATGCACCAGAGCTGTAAGCGGGTGTAGTGAATTTTGGTCTTTCTCTCTATTGCTGTTTATTTCTCTATTTAATCACAATGAGATGTACAGTGTTCAAGAAATTGTTAAAGGAAACCACTAAATTAAGAAATTGCCACTAAACCACAGTTTAATAGTCTCCAAGTTGTATTTTCATTCCATTGTTGATTACATGTGGTTCCTAACAGCAAAGAATGCTGCCTTTTTAACAGCTGTTCACATTTTGTGTGTTAACATGGTCATTTCCCACATCTGGCAGTCGAAGACTACACTCAGTTTATCATGACCTATTTTTATCTGTGGCTGACAGTGGCTGTGAGCCAGCAGAGTATTTTTAGTGCTCCCACTTTTGACACCTATGCATCAAATATATTATCCTCTCTGCTTCTGTACCACTTGGGAAGCAATAAACCCTTCTGTTCTTTTCTTCTTCATGGTTGCTTTGTTATCTTTAAAGCAAAAGAGAGTTCTGTAATTAACCTCAGTGTCATATTCTAGCATCCAGTATGATCTCAGTTTTAACTGTCCGTTTAACTGATGAGTATATAATGAGCACATCTGTCTAATAATAGGACTTGAAGAGAGTCCTGGGCTTTTGCTTTTAGCCAATTTCGTTGGTTATTCCCTTTTGAACAGGCTGATGCAAAATGATGGTTCCATTCTGGTTTAATCTGAGGTTCAAAGTCCTGTGTTAAGCAGAGGCTAAAACACACTGGTTTAGGAGCAGGACTGGCACAATTGATTGTAAATCCTTTTATGTGTTCTGTGCTTTTAATGTCTCATCAATGTACTTGGCTTAGTCATATTGCAACAGAAGGAGGCTCCCTCTCTGTCACACGCACAACCCTGGTTTGGAAAGCCAGTGTAGTCAACTTGAGCCTACAGCCCTGAACTCTCTCTTCCTAATCCATTGCAAAAACAGCCAAGGAGTTGCAGCTTGGGTAATCTACCTAGCACTTAGGCAGTTAGTCTTAGCAACTGGGTACAGTCTGACTTGAACCGCACTTTTTGTTCCAAGCCCTAGGTTGGGGTTCTTTCCTCTCATAGTATTTGCGGAAGAAGAGTATGGAGCAGGTATTCCTGGCCCCATTACACCAAAGATCCGCAGTAGCAGGCAGGACGATGGGCTGCCCCAACCAGTGTATTGGCAAAATAGCCCTGTTTATGTGTGGCACTGTGACTGATATTCCTGTGCCTGATAACGGTGCTGCAGAACAGCAGAGACGTCGTTGTGGTTTAACTGCTGCTGGTAATGGAGCACCATGGAGACACTCACTCACTCCTGCCTCTCTTGGGCGACACTCACTCACTCCTGCCTCTTTTGGGCAGTTACAACTAGGGCGGCTGCAAAGGGCATTTTATTATCATTGCTTTTAGTAAGTGATCTTCTGTCAGTACTTTGCAAACAGGCAACTGCAAATACAACTGACAAACAAATTGCAGATCAAAAGAGCATTAACTAAGTTCTGTAACCAAGAGAAAGGACAGGTGATCATACGTAAATGCTTCTTGTTTTCTATGTAATGGAGTCACTGTCTCTGGAGGTATTTAAGAAGAGACTGGATGTGGCACTTAGTGCCATGATCTAGTAGACAAAGTGGTGTTGGGTCAAAGGTTGGACTCGATGAGATCAGAGGTCTTTTCCAACCTACTTGATTCTGTGATTCTGTGAAATCCTGAGATGGGGTAAAGGATTTTAGTGAACTGCTAGATTTTAGTAACAGGGCTTTGGCTGAATTGCGCTGGTCTGGTGGTGGGTGCTGGTGGATATTGTTGGCTGATACGATGTGACAACAATTAATTCCTCGTGCTTTTTCCAAAGCAGAGCCTGTTGGCAAGGCTTGGCAGCATCTTATACAGCCCAAGCTGCTCTTATCAAACGTAGTTCATAACTCTGTCTCGGGAAGTATTCAACTCCACAGAGGTGGAGTATGAAAAGGGTAAGGCAGATGGGGAGCAAGTGCAGCATCTAAGTATTATTAATGAACTTAAACCAACCAGAGATTAGAGGTATAACTAAATAATTTAGGGGTTTAAAATCATAACAAGGAACTGGGCCTGTCAGGTAACTCTGCTCTGAAATGCTGTATGTTCCTGCTGATGTGCTTGTCTTGTCATAAATGTGAATGCCCAGCTCCACAAACCAGGAATGCCAAATCTGTGTGTTGCCTGGCCTTTCACAATTGCGGTCCATGGTTAGGACTTCTGATACTACTGTGGGAATAAATCATGAAAGCAAGTAATAGGTCTTGCTCTCTTTTTTACTTTATGGCTTTTAATGCTGAAGAGTGGAAAAAAGCCATAAACTTCTCTAAGGAAGATGGCAGAAAAAGGCCACGTAGTAGGATGACAGACACTCCAAAAATACTAAAATTATTTTGTTTACTCAGATAGGAAAACTCTGCTTTGTCGGTTTAGCATCTGTACAACATTATAATTTATCATTTCAAGTTTCTTTTTAAATACATACTAACCTTAACCAAAAGACTCTAGATCTAATCTCAAATGGGAGCTGCTATCAAGCAAGAACGAAATGGAAAGAGTAGTTACCAATTCATTCAGACCAATTGCCTCTGGGCAGAAAAAATTGCAACTGCTTTCTTACCTTGCCTTCAGATCTTGTGTAGTGGCAAAATTGTGTGAGCAGTGGGCCTGGGCACTGAGCATGAGGAACTCAGACAAATGCAGGTTATTTCTGAGACACCATAACCGGTGTCCTGTCACACCAATGGCTCCTCTATTAAATACACATAGTAGGCAGTCCATCTAGGTAGACATAACCACATTTTGGCCAAAGTAATCCAACTCCTATATTTGTATTCATGACCACATTTCCTCAACACAGTCACGCATCCTTTCTCCTAGGTGGGAGTCCGTTCATGGTTGGGTTCCTCTCCCCAAGGTGAGGACTCTCCCAGATCTCTGCATATAATTTTTTATTTCTCTGTTTGTTGAAGGCCTTATCTTTTTCTGGTAAGTCTGAAGTTAAAATGGTCTGTTACAAAAAGCATGCTCTGGTTCCCATTTCCCACCCCCCCTTTCAGTATTTCTGCGCCCAGCATTAGAGCAGCCTTGCTGCCCCGTTAACAATGACAGAACAATGTCACTGTTTGCCTGCTGAAAAATCCCCACTGCTTATCAGTTGCACTACACCCTGTGATTGCTTTCTGGAAGCCAAAAGCAGCCAGTTCTGTAAAATATGTGTACCTGGGGAACTTCCACTCCATAAAATTACCTTGTAAATCTTTCTGGTGGCATACATGGATATCAGCTCACTTTACACACAGTTCTGCAATAGCAGGCCAGCCCTATCCATATCTTCAATGTATACATAAAGTAATGTTTGAAAATGAAAAAAAAAAGTTTTTTCATGGGGAATGCAGAGAGTTTTTTCTTGATGTGTTGCTTGTGTGGACACTCAACACAAGCCAACTTTCTCTTAGGGATTCCTTCCCTCTGAGAAAATGTTTTTTACAATGAAAGAAAAAGAGTATTGCTTAGTTTATGACAGGTTAACATGACCAAAATATTCCTCTCTGTGTACAGAAGCCTCTTGAAAGCTTCCTTGAAATTGGCTTAGTCATTTTTACATGTCCTTACCTCTCTCTAGCAAATAGAGAGGAACCTTTAAAAGGTTCACTCAGTCTGTTTTAAAGGTTACAAAACAACCATTCTCCTTCACAGCTCTTCCTGATCCTTTCTGATTTTTTGTCTCTTTTTTCTTTTTCTTTTCTTTTTCTTTTCTTTTTTTTCCTGTTCTTTCTGACCATGCCATAGACCAACTTTTTACTATGCTCACCACAGCTCAACATGATTGCCTGACAGCTGAATGGGATTTTATGTGAGTATTAAAGTAGAGCAAATGACGGGCTGCTTGTGTGAGACTGGATGAGGAAACACATACTTAGAAATCATGACTACAGCACTTGTGTGGACAATAGTCAGTTACCTTAGAATGTGACCTCTTTTTATGTCATTACAGTTTTTAAAAAAAGGTAGTCTTGGAAGCCTTAATATCAAGAACCTTAAAACTGAAGTATAAAAAAACCTGTAAAGAATAGCATCCAGGAAATAATTCAATCGAGGATTGAAAACTAGACAGACGTATTTACACTGCAAATATTAATTGATTGGCTGTTAAATATTCATTGATTTTACAGTCTAATATGGCTATGTCTCATGCACTAATAAATGTGTTTGATTAGAGTCAATATGCAATGATGAAAGTGTGTCTCCCATGGCACGGCTTTGCCAGACAAGAGTGTCATTACCTCAACTCTCAACTCAGAAAGTCACACAGCCAGTTAGCTGACCTTA